CCCCTGCGCCTCGGGCGGCTGTCACCTGACGTTGTTGGTTGCTAGGACGCGGCCCTAAGCAACAGGCGGAGGTGGGGTGGTCCTAGGCCCAGCACTGTTCGTGGGCGTCGCCTGTCCCTACTCGCAGATGCCGCCTTCAGAGAATGGATTGTCACCATGAGGGGATCGCTGGTCTTGGGGAAGGGCCCGTTTTCAAATGCCAGCATCACCCTCCTCTGCTGTGCATGAGCCTTGCAGGCCTCCCCCGCGCTGCTGTTCTTTGCAGTGGGGGCTCAGGGTCAGGGCTGTTCTTACCCATGCACAGAACACGCAGCCTGCAGAGAACCTGACCATTTGGGGCACCACTGGGTGGTACTGTCCACCCAGCCACCTCTTCCTAGCCCTGTTCTGTGGCGGCTGCAGCCTGCGGAGTCTGCCTCCAGAGATGAACTGGTTGATCTGAGGAAGTGGGTCTGGCCCACGAAAGCTCATCATCTAATAAACCATCTTGTTAGTCTTTAAAGTGCTACATAGTCCTGCATTTTGCTTCAGCTACCCCAGACTAACAAGGCTACATTTCTATCACTGGTTAACTTACAAGTGAAATGGCCTTCTAGCAAGCCTATGAACAGAACACTGAAAGTTAGTCAAGGGTTAATGAAGCAATTTAACATGTATACTCAGTCCTTATTTTAAAATGTCCTTAAAATATCAGTGCTGCTGAAGATTATAAACTCATATTTTTCAAAATTACCTCTCTCCTCCCTGGCTGCCATTGGGGTATCAGTTTAATAGTACTTTGTAGGGCCACATAAATCCTAAGGACAGCTCTAACTGGCAGGGCTCTGTCCCCTGATAGAAGTGCTCAGCACCTTGGAGTTGAGGGACTATGAAGGGATAGACAGAGCTTTGTCTCCCAGTTTCATTGGGGGGGAAGGCATGATGTAAGCATAACCCCAGCTAAACAATGTGGCAGACAAAGAAGTGGAGCTACCACAGAGAAATAGAAACAGAGTGCAATAGGGATAGAGATAGTCTTCAGAACCTTTTGTTTATATTCTTAGTAAAAGGTGAAAGTTTCTATAACAGTGGATATTCAGACAGCTGTTCAAGAGCCAAATTAGCTATCAATGGTCACCTAGCAGAGCCACATTAGTGTGAATGATGGGAAATATCTTGGTTTATATATATATAATTCTCACAGGATCCAAATTACTAATTTAGTATAAATTGGTAACTTCATTGGTTAATAACATAATAAAAGCATATTGATTGCTTAATAACTCAGACTGGTTAATAATTAAATCACTGAAGCTACATCTAGACTACATCCCCTTTACGAAAAAAGGATGTAAATTAGACGTATCGCAATTGCTAATGAAACGGGGATTTAAATCTCCCACGCTTCATTAGCATAAAAATGGCTGCCGCTTTTTTTTCGGCACGGAGCTTTGCCGGAGAAAAGCGCCAGTCTAGACGCTGATCTTTCGGAAAATAAAGCCTTTTCCGAAAGATCTCTTATCCCTTATTGCAAGAGGGATGAGGGATCTTTTGGAAAAGGATTTATTTTCCGAAAGATCAGCGTCTAGACTGGCGCTTTTCTCCGGCAAAGCTCCGTGCCGAAAAAAAAGCGGCAGCCATTTTTATGCTAATGAAGCGTGGGAGATTTAAATCCCCGCTTCATTAGCAATTGTGATACGTCTAATTTACATCCCTTTTACGAAAAAGGGATGTAGTCTAGACATAGCCAGAGTGTTTTAATATGTACTGCAAAAAGCACCAACAGACTAGTGAAGAGCCACTTGTGGCTCAGGAGCCAGAATCTGAGTACGGCTAGACTTCAGGTACAGTGCTACAGTTACAGTGCTGTAGTGCTTTAATGAAGATGCTACTACCCCATGTTAATCCACCTCCTGAGGGAGTGGTAGCCATATCAGCAGGAGAAGCCCTATTAGCACTGTCGACACAGACTGGTTAGGTCAGTATATCTAAAAGTTATACTGATACAGGTTCTCCCAAAATGTTTATTTGTAATTACCAAAACAAATGCAAACTAATTTTGAGATTATTATTTGTTGAAAGCAAATCTATTTGTTCAAAAAAGTAATATCAGAAAAGTGCCATGTCAGGTAAAAATTATGGAATTTGGATTAAAGAAATAAGGAACAGATGATCAAATTTGTGGTTGGCCCAAGGGCTAGCTCCATAAAGGAGACTTAGGCCATGGATACATGGGAGGGGCAGCTACTAATCAAAAGTTTTTGATGCACATCAGGTATAAATTGAACTAACTGTGTTTCCACAGAATGCATGTTCCTTTTACTATTTGCATCATATAAACACAAGGGCTATGTCTACAATGCAGGCTTTCTGCACAAGAAAATGTCCGGTATTTTCTGTTTTTCTCTGACCGAAGGCCGGTGGGGACATTTTTCCCCTGCCATGTCTGACGGGCGAAGCGGGGGAATTTAAAAGTGCAGTATTTTTTTTTTTTCCTCAACCAATTTTTTTCCTGCCATGTTCAAGATTTTTGTGAAAGTATCTGGCAACCCTATACAGATGCAGGCTTTCTGCACAAGAAAATGTCCGGTATTTTCTGTTTTTCTCTGACCGAAGGCCGGTGGGGACATTTTTCCCCTGCCATGTCTGACGGGCGAAGCGGGGGAATTTAAAAGTGCAGTATTTTTTTTTTTTCCTCAACCAATTTTTTTCCTGCCATGTTCAAGATTTTTGTGAAAGTATCTGGCAACCCTATACAGGACTGTATTGATATATTTTTTCAGTAAAACTGGTGTTTTCCCTTATCCCCCAAAAAAGGTCCCATTCAGTTCATTTAGTACAGTGGTCCCCAACCTTTTCAGGTTGGCGGGCGCCAGCGGGCGTGGCCGTTCGCCCGCCGGGCGCCAGGGGGTGGGGACACTTGCGCGCCCGGGGGCGCCCCCCCCATAGCCGCATGCCCGGGGGCGGGGCCCCCCATAGCCACGCACCCGGGGCCGGGGCCCCCCCATAGCCACGTGCCCGGGGCCAGTGCCCCCTCCAAGCACCACATGCCCAGAGCGCGGGCGTCCAATCCGCAGCGCTCCCGGGGCCGGCGCTCACTGTGCGCCATGTGCCCGGGGTCGGCTCCAGCACCGCGCATGCGCCACGTGCCCGGGGCCAGGCCAGCCCCGAGCACTTGGC